AGGGGAATCCCAACGCACGCCAGTGGTTACATAAAAAAAATTACATGAGCTCTGATGGTGTAGGCCTATTCATTCGTTATTTCTAGTACTGTTGGTTTCCAACAATACTATTCGATAGCACACAAATGACAGATCTTCCAGTCCGAGAATATGTAGAAATAAATGTTTTTTTCTGATCAGGGCAAGGATAGCACAAACAAAATTTTTTTTGGCAAAATGAAAGTTGAAGAGGGAAAAGTTAGTTTTAATTAATAGCGCGGTAAATAGTACTTCATATAGGAAATTTTAATGAATTTTTAAAAAATTAATGAAGATCCAATGAAGCCACATTTCCATTGTCATCCGGTCTTGAACCACGTGCCTGGTTTCAGAGAAATTGATTAGTTGGAAGTAGTAAAAATTTCCTTCACCTGTTTTGATCCAATAGTAGAGTATTATTATATATTTAAAGAAAATAATTTATATTCTCTTTTTAGTGCATTATTACATACTGATTTGTTATTAAAACGTTTTTATGCAATTTTTTATTACAAGCTACTATTTAACTTGCGTCCCCTGTCTGCTTGTCGTCATAGATCAAAACGGGCGAGCGAAATTTCGGGCACTTCTAACTGACAAATTCTTATCAAAGTTGGCACGTGGGTCAAGATTTGAAGACAATGCAATCTGGCATCAAATTTGACTTAATTGGATGCCTAATTAATTCTTTATGAATTAATTAAAATGTCTGAATTTAGTAGGCAGACTTATACTACTCTTTCCGCACTATTATGCGCGCATTATAATGTTCATTTGGTGCGTAATAGTTTTTAGTCATGCAACTCTATTGAATTAAAAAATTTTAAGTACTGAGAAAAGATGTATAAAAAGCTTTTATGTAATAATGCATTAAAAAGTATAAAATAAGTGACTTTCTTTAAATATATTATAATACACTACTATTTAAATAACTCTAAGGAAAAAAAAAATTTTAATCGACAACGTAGCCATGCACACCATGGAAGTTAACATTAAAGCATTTTCGCGAGTTGTATCATTAAATGTGTGTTTTTCAAATCTCAATATGTCATTAATTTATAAAAACATCTTTAAATAAATTTTTCTATGACATTTCCTGAAAATGGAAAACTTTTCTCCACTAGGTTTAGGTCTTTTAAAGCTAAGTAAACTATACAGATGTTCTAATCACGTGGTACCGACAAACTAACAAATGAATAGATACACAAACTTGTCAATTATTTTCAATGTTAGATGTCTATATGTGTGTGAAACTAAAAAAACATTACCACCACCCCACCCCATCCCACCCCCACCCCCACCCCACCCCACCCCACCCCACCCCCACCCCACCCCTCTTTCAAGCGTCTATAAAACTCTGTCGTCTCTACAACACCCACCCCCCTCCCCCCCTCTCGTTTTCAAAAGATGTCCCGGAGGGATTGGCGGGAGTTTGGGGATTCTATTGACCAGTGGAGCTGACATAGTGTTGACCAGTGGAGCTGACATAGTATTGACCTGTGGAGCTGACATAGTATTGACTAGGGGAGCTGACATAATGTTGACCAGTGGAGCTGACATAATGTTGACCAGTGGAGCTGACATACTGTTGACCAGTGGAGCTGACATACTGCTGACCAGTGGAGCTGACATACTGTTGACCAGTGGAGCTGACATAGTATTGACCTGTGGAGCTGACATAGTATTGACTAGGGGAGCTGACATACTGTTGACCAGTGGAGCTGACATAATGTTGACCAGTGGAGCTGACATACTGTTGACCAGTGGAGCTGACATACTGTTGACCAATGGTTGACCAGTGGAGCTGACATACTGTTGACCAGTGGAGCTGACATACTGTTGACCAGTGGAGCTGACATACTGTTGACCAGTGGAGCTGACATACTGTTGACCAGTGGAGCTGACATACTGTTGACCAGTGGAGCTGACATACTGTTGACCAGTGGAGCTGACATACTGTTGACCAGTGGAGCTGACATACTGTTGACCAGTGGAGCTGACATACTGTTGACCAATGGTTGACCAGTGGAGCTGACATACTGTTGACCAGTGGAGCTGACATACTGTTGACCAGTGGAGCTGACATACTGTTGACCAATGGTTGACCAGTGGAGCTGACATACTGTTGACCAGTGGAGCTGACATACTGTTGACCAGTGGAGCTGACATACTGTTGACCAGTGGAGCTGACATACTGTTGACCAGTGGAGCTGACATACTGTTGACCAGTGGAGCTGACATACTGTTGACCAGTGAAGCTGACATAGTATTGACCTGTGGAGCTGACATAGTATTGACCAGTGGAGCTGACATACTGTTGACCAGTGGTTGACCAGTGGAGCTGACAGTGTTGACCAGTGGAGCTGACATAGTATTGACCAGTGGAGCTGACATAGTATTGACCAGTGGAGCTGACATAGTATTGACCTGTGGAGCTGACATAGTATTGACCAGTGGAGCTGACATAATATTGACCAGTGGAGCTGACATATAGTTTTCCAACCATTTGAAAATGAAATGTGGCTAATCTAAAAATTTGAAAATAGTTTATTCAAGTTAGAATCAAAAATTGTGTACAACAATTGTTGTCTATTTACATCTGATCATTAAACTCTTTAATTGACGTAGGTTAATCCGATGTTTGATATCGGTGTGTGTCACCTTCACACACTAGATGTCAGTCACTAGATGTCACACACTAGATGTCATATAATAGATGTCAGTCGCTAGATGTCATTTACTAGATGTCACACACTAGATGTCAGTCACTAGATGTCACACACTAGATGTCATATAATAGATGTCAGTCGCTAGATGTCATTTACTAGATGTCACACACTAGATGTCAGTCACTAGATGTCACACACTAGATGTCATATAATAGATGTCAGTCGCTAGATGTCATTTACTAGATGTCACATATTAGATGTCACACACTAGATGTCACACACTAGATGTCGTATACTAGATGTCAGTTGCTAGATGTCACACACTAGATGTCACACAATAGATGTCATATAATAGATGTCAGTCGCTAGATGTCATTTACTAGATGTCACACACGAGATGTCAGTAACTAGATGTCAGTCACTAGATGTCACACACTAGATGTCACACACTAGATGTCACACACTAGATGTCACACACTAGATGTCATATACTAGATGTCAGTTACTAGATGTCACACACTAGATGTCATTTACTAGATGTCACACACGAGATGTCACACATTAGATGTCACACACGAGATGTCATATACTAGATGTCAGTCACTTGATGTCATATACTAGATGTCAGTAACTAGATGTCACACACTAGATGTCACACACTAGATGTCATATACTAGATGTCAGTCGCTAGATGTCATTTACTAGATGTCACACACGAGATGTCACACATTAGATGTCACACACTAGATGTCACACACTAGATGTCACACATTAGATGTCACACACTAGATGTCAGTCACTAGATGTCACACACTAGATGTCATATAATAGATGTCACACACTAGATGTCACACATTAGATGTCACACACTAGATGTCACACACTAGATGTCAGTCACTAGATGTCACACACTAGATGTCAGTCGCTAGATGTCATTTACTAGATGTCACATATTAGATGTCATATACTAGATGTCAGTCACTAGATGTCACCCACTAGATGTCACACACTAGATGTCACACACTAGATGTCATATACTAGATGTCAGTCGCTAGATGTCATTTACTAGATGTCACACACGAGATGTCACACATTAGATGTCACACACTAGATGTAACACACTAGATGTCACACATTAGATGTCACACACTAGATGTCACACACTAGATGTCATATAATAGATGTCACACACTAGATGTCACACATTAGATGTCACACACTAGATGTCACACACTAGATGTCAGTCACTAGATGTCATTTACTAGATGTCACATATTAGATGTCATATACTAGATGTCAGTCACTAGATGTCACACATTAGATGTCAGTCACTAGATGTCACACACTAGATGCCTACTGTTGTATGTCTTACATACAGTTATGCTCGAATGCACAAGTCAATTTTCTGACAATTTGGCAAATGGCAACAGAAAAGAAAATTGTCTTTACATTTTTTCAAATATTTTTTTGGGGCAACCCCAAAAATAATAATTACATTTTCCCTGAACACGGGAACATAAAGAGAACATTTTGACAGCAGATACTTTAGCTTCTAACACAAGGCAGATCATTCAATTTACCAGGTACAACTAAAATTAATGAAAACAATTTTTTAAAATAAATGTGTGAATAGTATTATTAGTAGCCCTGAGTTAATTAGCTAATAATTAGCTACTAATTAGATGGATGATAAACTTGCTTGTCATCAAGGTAAAAAAAAATCAAAAGAAATAATTTCATTTAAAAAACTAAGAAAAAAAATCAAGAATAAGTAAAATATACTTTGGCATAAATTGTGTAATTTTGCAACACTTTCAAGTTTAGATTTTGTCATGGGGATGGTACCATCCATGAGGTGTCTACTTTCTGTGTCGGTCTGTCGGTCTGTCGTTCTACGACTGTGTCGGTCTGTCGGTCTGTCGTTCTACGACTGTGTCGGTCTGTCGGTCTGTCGTTCTACGACTGTGTCGGTCTGTCGGTCTGTCGTTCTACGACTGTGTCGGTCTGTCGGTCTGTCGTTCTATGACTGTGTCAGTCTGTCGGTCTGTCGTTCTATGACTGTGTCGGTCTGTCATTATATGACTGCAGCTAGGTTGAACTCAACAGTAAGAAGGAAGCTACAAATTCATAAAACACATTTTTAAATGTTATACTTTAAAAGGATTGAGCTTATATTTACAGGAACAAAATTTAGCTTTAGATACCACTATATATATATATATATATATATATATATATATATATATATATATATATATATATATATATATATATATATATATATATATATATATATATATATATATACAGTTTTAACACTTTCTCAGTATTGTTAAGATATCTGATATGGCCCAAATATGACCTGGTATAAAAAAAGTATTTAACAATGTCATAGAAAAAACAACAAGGTGTTATGAATGAAAATATTTTGGCAGAGGAGGCCTTGGTTGTGTCAATAGTCCAGGGAGCCATTGATCGTGTCAATAGTCCAGCGAGCCATTGATCGTGTCAATAGTCCAGTGAGCCCACTATTTTTCCTGCAGCTCGATGACCTCGACGTACTCGACGTTCTGCTTCTGGCCACGTTTCCTCTTCATCTCGTCCAGCTTGCTCCTCAGCTGGACGCCCTGCCGCTCCTTGTCTTGATTTAACCTGCAGGTAGAAGGTCAAAGGTCAGGGTCAGGGGTCACAGGGTCAGGGGATGCTTTGAGGGTATTCATGATTCATAAGGTTCGTGTCAGAGATAATTTAAAGGTCAAGGTTAGGGACTTAAAACAATACCTCTCTACTCTGGCAGATGGAGGGGGGGGGCTGTGTACTTACACTCTGTCCATCTCTAGAGCTCTACTCTGGCAGGTGGGGGGGGACGTGTGTACTTACACTCTGTGCATGTCTAGAGCTCTACTCTGGCAGGTGGGGGGGGGGGGCCTGTGTACTTACACTCTGTCCATCTCTAGAGCTCTACTCTGGCAGGTGGGGGGGGGGGGGACCTGTGTACTTACACTCTGTCCATCTCTAGAGCTCTACTCTGGCAGGTGGGGGGGGGGGACCTGTGTACTTACACTCTGTCCATCTCTAGAGCTCTACTCTGGCAGGTGGGGGGGGGGGGGGGGGGGACGACCTGTGTACTTACACTCTGTCCATTTCTAGAGCTTTCTCCAGCAGCTGCAGGGCCTGCTGGGTCCTGTCCTCTGCCAGGAACCTTTTCTGTCGTCTGATCCTGTCCAGCCGCTCCTGCTGCCTCTCCCGTTCTCTCTCGGCCTGGCTCTCACGTGTGTTCATAGTTTGTAGGATGGCTCGGCTCTCCTGGGGGGGGGGGGGGGGCGGGCATAAGTAATGCACATGTCATAGGTTTTTTTTTACTTTTATATCAACCATGATTAATGATCAGCCCCCACCCCCCAACCATGTCTACCTTCACCCCCACACTTGTCTACCCCCACCCCCAAACATTTCTACCCCCACCCCCAAACTTGTCTACCCTTGTCTACCCCCACGCCCGAACATGTCTACCCCCCACCCCAAAATATGTGTACCTTCACCCCCAAACATGTCTACCCCCCACCCCCAAACATGTCTACCTTCACCCCAAGCTTTTGTACCCCCCACCCCCAAACTTTTCTACCACACACCCCAAACTTGTCTACCCCCCACCCCCAAACATGTCTACCTTCACCCCAAGCTTTTGTACCCCCCACCCCCAAACTTTTCTACCACACACCCCAAACTTGTCTACCCCCCACCCCCAAACATGTCTACCCCCCACCCCCAAACATGTCTACCTTCACCCCAAGCTTTTGTACCCCCCACCCCCAAACTTGTCTACCCCCCACCCCCAAACTTGTCTACCACCCACCCCCAAACATGTCTACCTTCACCCCAAGCTTTTGTACCCCCCACCCCCAAACTTTTCTACCACACACCCCAAACTTGTCTACCCCCCACCCCAAACATGTCTACCCCCCACCCCCAAACATGTGTACCCTCCACCCCCAAACATGTCTACCCCCCACCCCCAAACATGTGTACCCCCACCCCCAAACTTTTCTACCACACACCCCAAACTTGTCTACCCCACCCCCAAACATGTCTACCCCCCCACCCCCAAACATGTCTACCCCCACCCCCAAACATGTGTACCCTCCACCCCCCAAACATGTCTACCCCACCCCCAAACATGTCTACCTTCACCCCCACACTTGTCTACCCCCACCCCCAAACATTTCTACCCCCCACCCCCAAACTTGTCTACCCCACCCCCAAACATGTCTACCCCCCACCCCCAAACATGTCTACCCTCCACCCCCAAACATGTCTACCCCCCACCCCCAAACATGTGTACCCCCCACCCCCAAACTTTTCTACCACACACCCCCAAACATGTCTACCCCCCCCACCCCCAAACATGTCTACCCCCACCCCCAAACATGTGTACCCTCCACCCCCAAACATGTCTACCCCACCCCCAAACATGTCTACCTTCACCCCCACACTTGTCTACCCCCACCCCCAAACATTTCTACCCCCCACCCCCAAACTTGTCTACCCCACCCCCAAACATGTCTACCCCCCACCCCCAAACATGTGTACCCTCCACCCCCAAACATGTCTACCCCCCACCCCCAAACATGTGTACCCCCCACCCCCAAACTTTTCTACCACACACCCCCAAACATGTCTACCCCCCCACCCCCAAACTTGTCTACCCCCACCCCCAAACATGTCTACCTTCACCCCAAGCTTTTGTACCCCCCCACCCCCAAACTATTAAGATAGCAGTAAATATCCCCCACCCCCAAACTTACTTCGTGCATTTTTTTGTTTCTTTCCTCTTCGTCCACCTCACCAGGGATAGTGGGGGTCATCGGCAGTGTGGGGGTCATCGGCACTGTGGGGGTCACAGGTAGGCTTCGGGTTGTTCTCGCACTGGGCGTGGTCATGCGACCGTTGCCCAGGACGGGGAGGGACGGGACACTGAGGGAGGAGGCGCACCTGTGAGGGAGGATGTGACACGTGAGGGAGGGAGGGTGTGTGAGGGAGGGTGTGGTGTGAGGTTGGCGTTTGGTGCGGGGGTGATGTGTAGTGTGTGTAGTGTTTGTGGGTGTGTGGGTGTGTGGTTGTGTGTGGGTGTGTGGGTGTGTGGGTGTGTGGGTGTGTGGTTGTGTGATTGGGTGTGTGGGTGTGTGGGTGTGTGGGTGTGTGGGTGTGTGTGTGGGTGTGTGGGTGTGTGGGTGGGTGTGTGGGTGTGTGGGTGTGTGGTTGTGTGTGTGGGTGTGTGGGTGTGTGGTTGTGTGTGTGTGGGTGTGTGGGTGTGTGGGTGTGTGGTTGTGTGATTGGGTGTGTTGGTGTGTGGGTGTTACCTGCTGGCGAGGTCGGCCTCTGACGGAGACCTACACCCATCCTCATCTGACGTCATAATCCGCCGACGCCTTTGACGTAGTCTGGTGGCCAGCACCGACTCCGGTATGCCTTCCGGCGTCCGGCGATCTTTGCTGTACGACAGCCGGCTTGGGGCAGAGACACGTGATACTGATCTCTTTGGTGATTGGTCCGGAGATTCTCGCTTTTCTTCTGCAAAAAGCAAGGGTGGGGGGGGGGAGGGGCTGATTTGAAATCTAGTACACAGACAAGGCAAGGTAGAATGGAGCAGAAGTCATACGGCGAGAAATGATAGACTGTGAAGTTAATACTTTAAATTAGTCGAAAAATGTGTTGCTAGTTAAAAACTTCAAAGCTAATACTTCAGACTACCAAAATATCATATGGAGACCAATTACTAATAAACGTCTCAAATGGTTACATGTTCTGATTCTTCAAATCCTTAGTAAATAGATTGACATGAGGAAATTCCATGAAAATAAATGTTTGACTTTTTTTCTGTGACTTTTTTTCTGTGACGTGTTTCTGTGAGGGGAAAAGTTTCTTGTCGCTAGATATTTTTTTGTTTTTCATCGTCATGAAAAGGCGCTTCTCTTTGGTCAATCCCACAACCCCCCCCCCCCCCTCTACCCCCGTCCCCCCACACTCACTTCAACCCACCCACCCCCACTAACCGCTGGTTATCGGGACATCTTGTTTGGAGGGGAGCGGCGACGAGTACTGGAAAACACTCGAGATTTACAAACGAGTTGTAAATAAACAATTGTGTGCCCGGTCTAGTTTTTACAGCATGTCGTTACCACGGCAACGTGCTGAGTAGCTTTAGCACTGTATGTTGTACCGTTATATACCATGGCCATTGAAGGTTGTACCATGTAGTACCATGGCCATTGAAGGTTGTATGATGTAGTACCATGGCCATTGAAGGTTGTACCATGGCCATTGAAGGTTGTACCATGGCCATTGAAGGTTGTATGATGTAGTACCATGGCCATTGAAGGTTGTATGATGTAGTACCATGGCCATTGAAGGTTGTACCATGGCCATTGAAGGTTGTACCATGGCCATTGAAAGTTTTACTGTGGCCAATGAAGGCCGTAAGATCGATCAAATATACGGACATGACTGGTTAAAATCAATACATGTCTTTGTTGTTTGCCTCTCAACCTGATCATATTGATCGGGTTATCGATGTGCTATTGACGTTGTATTCTCTCATTAGACACGAGACACCTCGCTGGCTACTTTCTTTAAAGCCTCCCCCCCCGTCACTATCTTCAAGCCCCGCCCACCCACTCCCCCCCCCACACACACACACACTTAGCCTCATCCCCCTCCCCATTGATAAAATACACCTATACTACCAATACTGGGGGGGGGGTGCTCACGCCTGCACTAGAATCCTCTGATGACCCAACTAAGCTCTTGTTTATAGGCGGACAGTGTCAGGTAGGACGGTAGTGAGGGGAGGGGGAGTGGGGGACACTTTTGTTGGACGGAAGGGGGGGGGGAGTGGGGACGGAAGCTGTGCGTCCAACTGATAAGACACATGTATTGACGTGACAGTGTTGTTGGCATCCATAGACACAAGTATCTATGGTAGATGGGACAAGTATCTGTGGTAGATGGGACAAGTATCTGTGGTAGATGGGACAAAATCTGTGGTAGATGGGACAAGTATCTGTGGTAGATGGGACAAGTATCTGTGGTAGATGGGACAAGTATCTGTGGTAGATGGGACAAAATCTGTGGTAGATGGGACAAGTATCTGTGGTAGATGGGACAAGTATCTGTGGTAGATGGGACAAGTATCTGTGGTAGATGGGACAAGTATCTATGGTAGATGGGACAAGTATCTGTGGTAGATGGGACAAGGGGACAAGTATCTGTGGTAGATGGGACAAATATCTGTGGTAGATGGGACAAGTATCTGTGGTAGATGGGACAAGTATCTGTGGTAGATGGGACAAGTATCTGTGGTAGATGGGACAAGGGGACAAGTATCTGTGGTAGATGGGACAAGTATCTGTGGTAGATGGGACAAGTATCTGTGGTAGATGGGACAAGTATCTGTGGTAGATGGGACAAGTATCTGTGGTAGATGGGACAAGTATCTGTGGTAGATGGGACAAGTATCTGTGGTAGATGGGACAAGTATCTGTGGTAGATGGGACAAGTATCTGTGGTAGATGGGACAAGGGGACAAGTATCTGTGGTAGATGGGACAAATATCTGTGGTAGATGGGACAAGTATCTGTGGTAGAAGGGACAAGTATCTGTGATAGATGGGACAAGTATCTGTGGTAGATGGGACAAGTATCTGTGGTAGATGGGACAAGTATCTGTGGTAGATGGGACAAGTATCTGTGGTAGATGGGACAAGGGGACAAGTATCTGTGGTAGATGGGACAAGTATCTGTGGTAGATGGGACAAGTATCTGTGGTAGATGGGACAAGTATCTGTGGTAGATGGGACAAGGGGACAAGTATCTGTGGTAGATGGGACAAATATCTGTGGTAGATGGGACAAGTATCTGTGGTAGAAGGGACAAGTATCTGTGGTAGATGGGACAAGTATCTGTGATAGATGGGACAAGTATCTGTGGTAGATGGGACAAGTATCTGTGGTAGATGGGACAAGTATCTGTGGTAGATGGGACAAGGGGACAAGTATCTGTGGTAGATGGGACAAATATCTGTGGTAGATGGGACAAGTATCTGTGGTAGAAGGGACAAGTATCTGTGGTAGATGGGACAAGGGGACAAGTATCTGTGGTAGATGGGACAAGGGGACAAGTATCTGTGGTAGATGGGACAAATATCTGTGGTAGATGGGACAAGTATCTGTGGTAGAAGGGACAAGTATCTGTGGTAGATGGGACAAGTATCTGTGATAGATGGGACAAGTATCTGTGGTAGATGGGACAAGTATCTGTGGTAGATGGGACAAGTATCTGTGGTAGATGGGACAAGTATCTGTGGTAGATGGGACAAATATCTGTGGTAGATGGGACAAATATCTGTGGTAGATGGGACAAGTATCTGTGGTAGAAGGGACAAGTATCTGTGGTAGATGGGACAAGTATCTGTGATAGATGGGACAAGTATCTGTGGTAGAAGGGACAAGTATCTGTGGTAGAAGGGACAAGTATCTGTGGTAGAAGGGACAACTATCTGTGGTAGATGGGAAAAGTATCTGTGGTAGATGGGACAAGTATCTGTGGTAGAAGGGACAAGTATCTGTGGTAGATGGGACAAGTATCTGTGGTAGATGGGACAAGTATCTGTGGTAGAAGGGACAACTATCTGTGGTAGATGGGAAAAGTATCTGTGGTAGATGGGACAAGTATCTGTGGTAGAAGGGACAAGTATCTGTGGTAGATGGGACAAGTATCTGTGGTAGAAGGGACAACTATCTGTGGTAGATGGGAAAAGTATCTGTGGTAGATGGGACAAGTATCTGTGGTAGAAGGGACAAGTATCTGTGGTAGATGGGACAAGTATCTGTGGTAGATGGGACAACTATCTGTGGTAGATGGGACAAGTATCTGTGGTAGATGGGACAAGTATCTGTGGTAAATGGGACAAATATCTGTGGTAGATGGGACAAGTATCTGTGGTAGATGGGACAAATATCTGTGGTAGATGGGACAAGTATCTCTGGTAGATGGGACAAGTATCTGTGGTAGATGGGACAAGTATCTGTGGTAGATGGGACAACTATCTGTGGTAGATGGGACAAGTATCTGTGGTAGATAGGACAAGGGGACAAGTATCTGTGGTAGATGGGACAAATATCTGTGGTAGATGGGACAAGTATCTGTGGTAGAAGGGACAAGTATCTGTGGTAGATGGGACAAGTATCTGTGGTAGATGGGACAAGTATCTGTGGTAGAAGGGACAAGTATCTGTGGTAGATGGGACAAGTATCTGTGGTAGATGGGACAACTATCTGTGGTAGATGGGACAAGTATCTGTTACTCACGTAACAGCCGTGACGCCGCCCTCAGCTGTTCCGCCTCATCTCTGTATCTGTCTGCCGTCTCTCTCATCTCCTCCCTGCAATCCTCGATCACGTCGATCACAAACTCTGACTCTTGATCGAACAGATCGATCAGCGACTCGATAAACCATCGCTGGGGACAAACGACATTTACTTGAGTGGACACATGACATTTACTTGAGTGGACACATGACATTTGAGTGGACATATGACATTTACTTGAGTGGACACATGACATTTGAGTGGACATACGACATTTACTTGAGTGGACATATGACATTTACTTGAGTGGACACATGACATTTACTTGAGTGGACAAATGACATTTGAGTGGACACATGACATTTACTTGAGTGGACACATGACATTTACGTGAGTGGACACATGACACTTACTTGAGTGGACACACGACATTTGAGTGGACACATGACATTTAGTTGAGTGGACACATGACATTTGAGTGGACACACGACATTTACTTGAGCGGACACATGACATTTGAGTGGACACACGACATTTACTTGAGTGGACATATGACATTTACTTGAGTGGACACATGACATTTGAGTGGACACACGACATTTACTTGAGCGGACACATGACATTTGAGTGGACACACGACATTTACTTGAGTGGACATATGACATTTACTTGAGTGGACACATGACATTTACGTGAGTGGACACATGACATTTACTTGAGTGGACACATGACATTTACTTGAGTGGACACATGACATTTACTTGAGTGGACACATGACATTTGAGTGGACACATGAAATTTACTTGAGTGGACACACGACATTTGAGTGGACACATGAAATTTACTTGAGTGGACACATGACATTTGAGTGGACACACGACATTTGAGTGGACACATGAAATTTACTTGAGTGGACACACGACATTTGAGTGGACACATGAAATTTACTTGAGTGGACACATGACATTTGAGTGGACACACGACATTTACTTGAGTGGACACATGACATTTGAGTGGACACATGACATTTACTTGAGTGGACACATGACATTTGAGTGGACACATGACACTTACTTGAGTGGACACACGACATTTGAGCGGACACATGACATTTAGTTGAGTGGACACATGACATTTGAGTGGACACACGACATTTACTTGAGTGGACACATGACATTTGAGTGGACACACGACATTTACTTGAGTGGACATATGACATTTACCTGAGTGGACACATGACATTTACGTGAGTGGACACATGACATTTACTTGAGTGGACACATGACATTTACCTGAGTGGACACATGACATTTACTTGAGTGGACACACGACATTTGAGTGGACACATGAAATTTACTTGTGTGGACACATGACATTTACTTGAGTGGACACATGACATTTACTTGAGTGGACACATGACATTTACTTAAGTGGACACATGACATTTACTTGAGTGGACACATGACATTTGAGTGGACACATGACATTTACTTGAGTGGACACATGACATTTACTTGAGTGAACACATGACATTTACTTGAGTGGACACATGACATTTGAGTGGACACACGACATTTACTTGTGTGGACACATGACATTTACTTGAGTGGACACATGACATTTACTTGAGTGGACACATGACATTTAGTTCAGTGGACACATGACATTTGAGTGGACACACGACATTTACTTGAGTGGACACATGACATTTGAGTGGACACATGACATTTACTTGAGTGGACACATGACATTTGAGTGGACACATGACACTTACTTGAGTGGACACACGACATTTGAGCGGACACATGACATTTAGTTGAGTGGACACATGACATTTGAGTGGACACACGACATTTACTTGAGTGGACACATGACATTTGAGTGGACACACGACATTTACTTGAGTGGACATATGACATTTACCTGAGTGGACACATGACATTTACGTGAGTGGACACATGACATTTACTTGAGTGGACACATGACATTTGAGTGGACACATGAAATTTACTTGAGTGGACACACGACATTTGAGTGGACACATGAAATTTACTTGAGTGGACACATGACACTTGAGTGGACACACGACATTTGAGTGGACACATGACATTTACTTGAGTGGACACATGACATTTACTTGAGTGGACACATGACATTTGAGTGGACACATGAAATTTACTTGAGTGGACACACGACGTTTGAGTGGACACATGAAATTTACTTGAGTGGACACATGACATTTGAGTGGACACACGACATTTACTTGAGTGGACACATGACATTTATTTGAGTGGACACATGACATTTACTTGAGTGGACACATGACATTTACTTGAGTGGACACATGACATTTAAGTGGACACATGACATTTACTTGAGTGGACACATGACATTTGAGTGGACACATGACATTTACTTGAGCGGACACATGACATTTACTTGAGTGAACACATGACATTTGAATGGACACAAGACATTTACTTGTGTGGACACATGACATTTACTTGAGTGGACACATGACATTTACTTGAGTGGACACATGACATTTACTTAAGTGGACACATGGCATTTACTTGAGTGGACACATTACATTTGAGTGGACACATGACATTTACTTGAGTGGACACATGACATTTACTTGAGTGAACACATGACATTTGAATGGACACAAGACATTTACTTGTGTGGACACATGACATTTACTTGAGTGGACACATGACATTTACTTGAGTGGACACATGACATTTACTTGAGTGGACACGTGACATTTACTTGAGTGGACACATGACATTTACTTGAGTGGACACATGACATTCACTTGAGAAAATTTCAAGTGCCCCTTGGGTGGGCTTGTGAGCGAATGGAATTTTAAGGTAGATTTTCAACCCCTTTTTAATGCGGGAATCGGCCAACGACTAAACTGATTGTGAAGGCTGTAGATATTTATTCGTTTATTCAATGACGGTAACAACACATGTCCATCGCATCACTTACAACATTTGACAGCTTTGTGTTGAACACGATTGTACCAGCAGATCTCTTTGATGTTTTCAAATAAAAATCACCAAGCTGTGACGTCACGCGACATTGATCCCGTGACGTCACGAAAAAAAATTGATCCCGTGACGTCACGAAACGTTGATCCCGTGACGTCACGAAACATTGATCCCGTGACGTCACGAAAAAAATTGATCCCGTGACGTCACGAAACATTGATCCCGTGACGTCACGAAAAAAATGTATCCCGTGACGTCACGAAACATTGATCCCGTGACGTCACGAGACATTCATCCCGTGACGTCACGGAAAACTAATCCCGTGACGTCACGAAAAAATTGATCCCGTGAGGTCACGAAAAAAATTGATCCGGTGACGTCACGAAAAATTGATCCCGTGACGTCACGAAAAAAATTGATCCCGTGACGTCACGAAAAAATTTATCCCGTGACACATTTAAAGTAATCACTTCCGGTTATTGACTGATGGATGGCTGGACAAACTATCTCAGTCAAACTATCTCAGAAATAATTTTTGAGACAAAATATATGAGAGAAATATCTCAGAGAAAATGTCTGGGACCTTGTGAGCCGATCTGTCGGCTTTTGAACTGGTCGGGTCATGTACAGGTCACTTCATGGCCGGAGTTCTTCATTTCTTGGTCAATCACTTTGTCACGTGATTGCCACAAATTTATTAAGGTCAAGGCCACTCGACGATAAATTTTAGCGGAATTCTCCCCACCTCCCATCCCCCACCCCCTGACAAGATCCGCATCAGATGTGTCAGAAGTTTATTTAAAATTCACGACTGACTTTTGAAAACTTAAGATCTAGAATGTGTCAGAAGTTTTCTTCTTAAGTTCAAGACTGACATTTGAAAAACTTAAGATCTAGAATGTCAGAAGTTTTCTAAAGTTCAAGACTGACTTTTGAAAACTTAAGATCTAGAATGTGTCAGAAGTTTTCTAAAGTTCAAGACTGACTTTTGAAAACTTGGACTGTCGAGCTATTGAGGAAGCTACAACCAGTAGTTAGTGAACACTGCGATTCTCGGCTTAAAATGTAGTGCAAGTACAGCAACTAGCAAAACGATTCCTGAAATAACGGTATCGATTATTGAAATAACGTCATTGATTACTGAGAAAACAATACACTGCGGCTAGTAATAGGGTGGGGATGGGATGGGGTGGGGGGGGGGGGGGGGGGGTGGGGGGTTTCATGTACAGCCTGCTTCAACCTATCGATTTACAAAGCTCAAAAAACAATCAATTTTTTAGTTCTTGAGTTTTAAACAAAGGCAGGCTGATTGTAGGTCAATTTATAATTGATAGGACGCCATTTTTGTCAGCTTCAAATTAGCGACGGTCTGTTGGGATAAAGGAGAAGGTCTGTTGGGCTAAAGGAGAAGGTCTGTTGGGCTAAAGGAGAAGGTCTGTTGGGCTAAAGGAGAAGGTCTGTTGGGCTAAAGGAGAAGGTCTGTTGGGCTAAAGGAGAAGGTCTGTTGGGCTAGCTAAAGGAGAAGGTCTGTTGGGCTAAAGGAGAAGGTCTGTTGGGCTAAAGGAGAAGGTCTGTTGGGCTAGCTAAAAGAGAAGGTCTGTTGGGCTAAAGGAGAAGGTCTGTTGGGATAAAGGAGAAGGTCTGTTGGGCTAGCTAAAGGAGAAGGTCTGTTGGGCTAAAGGAGAAGGTCTGTTGGGCTAAAGGAGAAGGTCTGTTGGGCTAGCTAAAGGAGAAGGTCTGTTGGGCTAAAGGAGAAGGTCTGTTGGGATAAAGGAGAAGGTCTGTTGGGCAAGCTAAAGGAGAAGGTCTGTTGGGCTAAAGGAGAAGGTCTGTTGGGCTAAAGGAGAAGGTCTGTTGGGCTAAAGGAGAAGGTCTGTTGGGCTAGCTAAAGGAGAAGGTCTGTTGGGCTAAAGGAGAAGGTCTGTTGGGCTAAAGGAGAAGGTCTGTTGGGCTAGCTAAAGGAGAAGGTCTGTTGGGCTAAAGGAGAAGGTCTGTTGGGCTAAAGGAGAAGGTCTGTTGGGCTAAAGGAGAAGGTCTGTTGGGCTAAAGGAGAAGGTCTGTTGGGCTAAAGGAGAAGGTCTGTTGGGCTAAAGGAGAAGGTCTGTTGGGCTAAAGGAGAAGGTCTGTTGGGCTAGCTAAAGGAGAAGGTCTGTTG